AATATTTTTTAAAAAATATTTATTTTTAAAAAATGTTTATTTTTAAAAAATAAACATACATCTGTAGGACTCATTTCAATTAAAAGATAAGTGGTTTTTAATAATGTAGATAGCTGTCAAATCCATGAAGACAATATAATATTGAAATCTATTATATTGTTTGTCAACTACACTTCAATAAATAAATATGTAAAAATTAAATAAATGAAAATGTGTTTTTAAATATATGAATTACATTGACAAAACTAAAAAACCAGCTGTAAGAAAGGAAACAGGTTTAATGTTTTTCTTAAACCTGCTCCCTTGAATTGGTTCAGCTATATTTGAGTGTTGCCAGAAACTCAAAGTAAAATTCCAAATTGGACTTTCATTAAGGAATCAAAGTAAAGGAATTCATATTTTCTTTGTTACTTACTTCATCTTATGATACACTGATGCATTATTTTCTAGTAGGTCATAAATGAAGAGTAGACAGGAATGTTAAAAGGCAAAATTCTTAGAAGCAAGAACTTAAATATCCTGATTAAATATTAAACACTATGTGTTGGATCTTTGTGTATCTAGTAGCTTTAACATTTTTTCTAGGTTAGACATAAATTGCTATCAAAACACATTGTAATTTACTTGTCATTATCCGCAGTATAAATACTTCATGAGCAAGTATTGCCTTTTTAGGTATATCCATCAAAGAGTTTACACATATTAAGTTACTACTAATTTCCAACTTAAACTTTTAAATCATTACATTCATCACTCATTATATTTCTGTAAAGGTCTACAAAATAATCTTTACCTTAGTTTATATATGTAACTATGTTTCATAAATGATATATTAGAAGTGTAAGCATATTTAATGACAATGAAATATGTGTTCCCCCTTTCTTTGCAGTTTAGATAATATCATGATTTGGTGTTGAATCTTATTTGCTGCAGGCAGAGAGTCGTGAGTAATTAGGTTTTTTGACTCTGGAACTGAGGAAATTTATTGAGAGAAAATGGATCATTTGTTCTTGACTTTTCCTCTTGATCATCAACATTCGTGGATCTTTAAAGTAATTTAAGTGTATCTACTAAGCAGTACAATAAATATAAACATATATGTGTGTATATACATCCCCATCTATATAGTTGTGCATGTACATACAATTAGAATTATATGTAAATATGAGTCACAATGCTAAAAAGCTAAATGCAATATTTCAAAGGTAATTATTTACTTCAACAAAAAATGCTATTTGAAAATTTATTTTCTCATTTACTCCATTTTTCGTTCATATATCTCATAAAAACTGTAGAGTATAGAGTGTGAAGCAGTAGGGAGATTTAGGAATCAGATGTGAGAAAAACATGTATAAACAACAATATTATTCGTAGTTCAGACCTCAGTTCATATCAACAAATTACAAAGCCCTTCAATTTTTAACAAAATATATATTATGTAGACTGAATTAAACCCACTATGGATGGAGATGCGTAATTTTTTAAAGAGAAATTTACAGGTGAAAAAAGGAAAGTTGGAGTTGTAAATAAAACCAAAAGATTAAGTAGAAATGAAAAATATACATCTTTAAGACAAAATAGAATATCTTTAATTTCCAGAAATATTAATGGAGACCATTTAAAATGTTTTCCTTTTTAAGTAGTGTTTTGTAAGTATAAGATAATTACACATTTCATGGAGCCACAAGTGTTTTTAAATAATGGATATGCAGTACTTCTTTTCAAACTTAAAATTGATTGAATTCAGAGACTAAAGATTACAAATTATTAACTTTCCCCATGTTGAAATACATTAATTTGTGCTAATTACAAACTTAATTGAGAAATTAAGTTGACAAATGTTGAAGTAACATTTTGTTACTTTAAACAGTGCATCAATAAAGTTCAATCAATACAAACTAGTGAAGAATGTCTTAATTTTTGCAGATTCAAGTGAAATGTGATTTAGTGTAAAAACCGAAATGTGTGTAGTTCTATGACATCTTGAAGGGTTTAAACATGTATCTTAACATTCTGTGTAATCATTTTGAAAAAAAGGAAGTATTACAGATTATCTACTTATATTTTAGGATCCATTAATTTTTTTTCTGTTTATTTATTTATTTTTATTAAAGTATCATTGCTATACACTCTTATGAAGGTTTCAGAGGAAAAATAATTTAATTATTATATTCACCCTTATTATCGAGTCCCTCCCCATACCCCATTGCAGTCATCGTCCATCAGTGTAGTAAGACACCACAGAGTCCCTATTTGTCTTCTCTGAGCTGCACGATCTTCCCCTTGATCCCACACACACCATATGCACCAATCATGATACCCCATAATCCCCTTCTCCCTCCATCCACCCTCCCCAACTCTCCCCTTTAGTAAGCACTAGTCCCTTCTTGGAGTCTGTGAGTCTGCTGCTATTTTGTTCCTTCAGTTTTGCTTCCTTGTTATACTCCACAAATGAGGGAAATCATTTAATATTTCTCTTTCTCTCTATGACTTGTATCACTAAGCATAATACCCTCCAGCTCCATCCATGTTATTGCAAATGGTAGGATTTGTTTCTTATGACTGAATAGTATTCTATTGTGTATATGTACCACATCTTCTTTATCCATTCATTTACTGATGGACACTTAGGTTGCTTCCACATCTTGGTTATTGTAAATAGTGCTGCAATAAACATAGGGGTGCTTATGTCTTTTTGAATCTGAGAAGTTGTTTTCTTTGGGTAAATTCCTAGAAGTGGAATTCCCGGGTCAAGTGGTATTTCTATTTTTAGTTTTTTGAAGAAACTCCATACCGCTTTCCACAGTGGTTGAACTAGTTTACACCAGCAGTGTAGGAGGATTCCCCTTTCTCCACATCCTTGCCAACGCTTGTTATATTGACTTCTTGCCTTTTGGATAGTGGCCATTTTGTCTTGTGTGAGATGATATCTCATTGTGGTTTTGATTTGCATTTCCCTGATGATTAGCGATGTGGAGCATCTCTTCATGTGCCTATTGGCCATCTGAATTTCTTCTTTGGAGAAGTGTATGTTCATATCCTCCACCCACATTTAATAGAGTTGTTTGATTTTGGGGTGTTGGAATGTGTGAGCTCTTTATATATTTTGGATATTAACTCCTTGTCAGATATGTCATTTACAAATATATTCTCCCATCCTGTAGGTGCCTTTATGTTCTGCTGATGGTGTCCTTCCCTGTACAGAAGCTTTTTAGCAAAGGACCCATGAATTTCTGAATGTTTAAATACTTATTAAACACAAATAAGTAAAGACACCAATATACGAATTTTTGAATACTTACAAATGAAAATGAGGAAAAATATTTTATGTATTATACCCTCATTAAAATAAGGCACCTAAAAATCTGTTTATACTTCCAATAAAACCTCAGTACTTGAATAGTTTTTTAATGGTTTTGAGTAATCAATGAAAAACTTTTATATGATTATCTTTAGCTTGTATTTCTCACAGGTGAGTAAGGTTTTATTATTGTAGAGCTGTATGAAATTTATTAATGTAAGGAGGTACATAAATAGGGTAATCACATTTAGAGTTATTTGAGTAAAAATATAAGCATTGAGAATAATGTTAGTAGATAACCAAATATCTTACAATTTGTTTTATAAGTATTGCAAATGCATTATTAAAACATTGCAAAACATTGTGGGAGTATTATTTATGGTGATATGTCTCCTTATTTTGACATACAGTATTATATTAGTTTCAGGTGTGCATAATAGTGATTTGATAGTATTACCCATACTGAGATAATAACCATGATAGATAGTTCTACACCTGCCACCAGACATGTTTGTGATAATGTTATCAGTTATAATGTCAATGCTGTAAATATTCACGTGATTTACTTATTTTGTAACTAGAAAATACTCTTAATCACCTTGATTTACTTCACCCATCCTCCTCTCCCATTTCTTGCAGAAACCACCAATTACTTCTTCGTATGTATGAATGTGTTTCTACTTGGTTTGTTTGCTTTCTGGTTTTGCTTTCTAGATTCCACACATAAGTGAAATTATATGGCATTTTTATTTTTGTGTCTGATGTATTTTACCTAATATAAAACCCTCCAGCATCATCCATATGGTTGCAAATGCTGGATGTCATTCTTATTCATGGCTGAGTAATATTCCATTTTATACATATACCACCTCCTCATTCATTATATATATAAATTTTAAATACTTTATATGTAGTATATATGTAAACATATATTTGAATTGGGTTGTTGAACGAGTTGAAAGGGATAAGAGGCACAAAATCTCACAATCAAAATATAAATTAGTCATGGGGATGAAACTGCAGCATAAAGAGTAGAGTCAATAGTTCTGTAACATCTTTCTATGTTAATAGTAACACACCATTTGGGGTGAGCATTTAATAAAGTATAAACCAGTCAAAAAACTATGTCATATACTTGAAAACTTGTATTTGAATTGATGAATTCTTTATTAAAATAATACAACTAAAAGGCTGCATATTATTGATAGAGTATGAACATTGAATATCGTAATCAGCAAGGGATTAGAAAACCACAACTTAAGCATTTTGGCATGTTAATTATTCAAAAGTGGTAATAAAATTAGCAGATCTAAATACAAGTAATGAAGGGTATTTCCTATGCATGAAGACCGACTTTATAAAATAAAAGGAAACATTTCAAAATAAAATATTTGACAATTATTAATTTTTGTATGGATCATACTTTTCATTGTTTATCCCTGTTGTTTTCTAGGTCAAATATCATTTCCTGAAAATGACCAATTTCACCACAGTGACTGAGTTTCTCCTCACGGGCTTTGCTGAGAAGTGGGAGACAAGGCTTCTGCTCTCCCTGCTATTCCTTCTGATGTACCTGGTCACCCTCACAGGGAACATTCTTATCATCAGTGCCACCACAGTTGACCAGAACCTTCACACGCCCATGTACTTCTTCCTCAGGAACCTGTCCATCCTAAACGTGTGCTATGTTTCTGTCACTGTGCCCAATGCCTGTGTCAACTATGTCACTAATAACTGGGCCATCTCAGTGGCTGGCTGTGCAACCCAGATATTCTTGGTCATTTATTTTGCGTTTGTAGAAATTCTGTTTCTCATGTTCATGGCCCATGACTGCTATGTGGCCATCTGCCAGCCCCTCCACTACCCTGTCATCATGAACCATCAGTTCTGTGTGCAAATGACACTATTTTCCCTGCTTAGTGGTCTTCTCTACTCAGGTGCACACACAGGTAATGTATTCCGGCTGCCCTGTCAGTTCAATGTGGTCCAACAGTTCTTCTGTGATGTCCCCTTTCTGCTGAGCCTCTCCTGCTCTGACACCTTCAGCAATTTCCTCTTTTTGTTTCTATTATTGTAGTTGGTGATGTTTCCTTTATCTTCCTCACCATATCGTACTTTCACATATTTTCCACCATACTGAAGTTTCCAACCAGAGAGCGAGGCAAGGCCTTTTCCACGTGTGTCCCTCACATCCTGGTGGTGTCTGTCTTCCTCAGCTCTATTGCCTATGTGTACCTGAAGCCTTTAGCAACTTCTGAAACCATCCAGGACATGATTCTTTCTGTATTTTACACCATAGTTCCTCCTTTCTTGAATCCTATTATCTAGTCTTAGAAACAAACAAGTAAAAGAAGCTGTAAGGAAATTAATAGTTTTTCTCCCAGAAAGTAAATAGTTTCTTTTTCAGGTTCATCCCTGTGTTGCTGAATAAGCCACAGATATCTAGACTACAACTGGCTTATTCAGTTTTACATATTAGTCTCCTCATTATGAAATCATTCATTTAATATATCTGTAATTACATTTTTTAACATTACTCTTTCCATCTATTATTTCAAATTAAAATGTTCAACTGTTGGTTTTAATGACCACATATAATCAAAGATATTCATGAAAATCATTTTAGATATATGTTTAGGATTCACCAATTATTAACGATATTAATAAGGTCTCAAAGGACTCCTGAGCAAATCAAGTATGGATATATAATATAGGCTCTATTATCTGAAAATTTTCAAAAAAAATAGGAAATACCTGTATAATATTGTCTTCAGTGATAGAATTTATGTTTTCTGAAATTAAAAATTAAATTTAACAAATTATAGTTCATGATATATATGGAATTAAAACTAATGAATATCTGGAAAGTGAAAAAGTATGTCCACAACAAAGATTAAGAGAAATGTGATTTAGCCTCCCAATTAATAGGAATGAAGAATGTCCTGTTTGTTGACAGAAACTATCATTATCCTTTCTTTGCTGCTTGCAGTTATTTTATTATACCATACTGAGGAGACGCACCATGCTGTGGGGATATAGGCAGTTGTGATATAATGAACCATAAGAAAAACATATTTAGTCATTCAGGTGATCAAGTAGGGATTTTCCAGCATATCTGGTTTTCATCAACAGCCCCTGAAGACACTTCAGAGACTTAAAGGCAAAATGGGTGTCTTATCAAATTAATAAAGGACTTTTGGACCCCGACCAAGGACTGTGGCTGGAGGCTGAATAGGCCAATGGCCAGGAAGTTAGTCAATCATTTCTATCTACTGAAGGTCTCACCAAAACCCATGAGAAGAATGCATCCCTCTCTGCATCTTGCGTCTCTGTGGGGGGGGGGGCTTCCATGTTTGGGGGTCAGAATGTGACCACATGCCAGTCAAGCTTCACAAAGATAATAGTTCCTTTATTTGGGACCTTGCCCTGTGTATCTCCTCATCTTGTTGTTATCTTCTATCCTTTATGGTGTCCTTTATTACAAGGGTAAGAGCAAGTGTTTTCTTGAGTTCTGTGAGCTGCACTAGCAAATTATGCTAAGGGGAAGGACATTGGAAGCTCTGAATGAGGATTTTATCATCTCTGTTGGTGAGAAACACAGGTGACGGCTGGGGCTCGCAGTTAGCATCTGGAGTGGAGGGTGGGTTCAGTCTTGTAGGATGGAGCCCTTAACCTGGGGAGTCTGGTGCTGTCTCCAGGAAAATAGCACCAGAATTGATTTGAGTTCTCAGACACACTGCTGGTGTTCAAGAACACCTTGGTGTTGTGTGTGGAAGACACACACACATAAACACACACACACATTAGAATTGGGTATTGAAACACAAAATGAGTTGTACTATTGTTGTCTAAAAATAAACAGGACTTTTTCCTTTTTTTACCTTCTGTCATATTTGTTACTTGTTATATACTTTTCTTAGTATTGTGCCATTTCACAATTCTCCAGAGATGGTCCAAAGTTTAGTTTATTTTGCATGGTACAATAAAACTACCTGCAGCCTAATATCTTTTATAATTATTTCCTCATCTTGAATGGAAAACTTAATCTTCCATAAATTTTTGTTTTCTGAGCTACTATACACATTTATCTCAATTCACAACCACTTTGATATGTATAGGGGCTAACTTATCCAAGAAATTTTTATAGAATCCACAAAAATTTTAAAGTTATGAACATGAAATCATAAGTGATTCATGAAATGTCCATATCTAGAGCTGAGTTTTATTTGTTAGTGCATTAAATATGAGCAGGAGAAAAAATTATTTCATTGCACAGGAAATAATTAAATGTCCAAAAAGGGGGAATTTAATAAATATGTATTTAAAATTTACCAATGAAGAGAACATTTGCATGAAATAATTTATTGAATGAACAGCTGAGATAGTTCAGAGATACTGAGTATAAAAATGGATGATTTAGGATGCCTACAATAAGCAGCCACAATCCAGGATTAAATAGAATGACTCAAGAGTGTGAATGTTGGATGAGACAACTTTAATTTTTTTGTGTGTCTGAAAAGCCTTAAAATAATTTGCATGGGGTCTGAGGACTGGCAGTCCCTTAAAATTTTGGTTCTTTGCTTCATCTGGATACAACTTGTAAAGAAATATCATGGAAAGATGCAACATCTTCAAAGAAATGCTCCATTATGTATAGATTTTCTCATTTCAACCTTCATGGTGATAGGATAACCATATAAATATCAGCAAATGATGAAGTTTAAAACATATACCTTCTGTTCTTACATGGCGTTCTCATGGGATCCCATTGTGTGAGTGTGTGTGAGTGTATGTGTGAGTGTGATGTGATTTTACCTCTGTAAATCCCCCATTATACTTTCTGTTGTCGTCTCTTCTGATGTAAGAACTGACAGGGTGACCGCTGTGTCACTGCACTAAAACTCTGTTTACAAAGCACTTGACTACACAGATTCTGACCAATAAACACACTTGCAATATGTCCTTAAACCTTCTTCCTTATTCAAGCCCCAATTATAAGAATAGGTTACATGGAATGTTTCCTGCAGTAATCGACCTATTGTCATGTTCTTTAATATTTTACATAGATACTATAGGTGAAGAGTTATCAGCCCACACACATGTGCCATGATATTCGATGAGTATAACTTACGGCATTTCTGTTCACTAGCCACTTTACAGCAAGCAGATTTTTATGGAGTATATATAAAGACACAAAATTCTAGTTCTTTTTAAAATTGTAGTAAAGTAGATACAACATAAGATTCATAATATTTGCCATTTTTAAGTGCACAGTTAATTAGTGTTAGATTCAGATCATTGTGAAATCTCAAGAATTATTTCTTCTTGCAAAACAGAAACTCTACACACATTTAGACAACTTCTCTTCATTTTTCCTTCATTCTGTACCCAAAATCACCATTCTGACTTTGTATCCATGAAATTAAATACTCTGAATTCTTCACATGAAGGTTCATACGCATGATTTGACTTTTTGTGACTCGTTTGCTTCACTTAGCATAATGTCCTTGAGATTCATCCATTTTGTACCAAGACTCCAGATTTCCCGCCTTTGCAAGGGTGAATAATATTTACTTGCATGTATATACCATAACTTTCATATCAATACATCTAAAAATATGCATGAATTAATTCTACCTTTTGGGCGTATTCTTAATTAAATGTGTCTAAGAATGAGAAATGTGACATACAGCAAAAAAGATGGTGGAGTAAGTAATCCAGGCAGTAACCACCTCCCACACACACACACCAAGTAAGCAACTACAGCAAATACAACTAACCCTGAAAATGACCTGCAGACTGCAGAATAGGCCGTCTTCATCTCAAGGAGAAGAGAAGAGCACATGGAGAAGGGTAAGTGGCAGAGTCATGAATGATTAGGTCCCAAGAACTTCCCCAGTCCAGCCCCCTAGACAGACTTATCAAGACAAAAATCGAGGACACAAATAGATGAAATCAGAAATGAAAAAGGAATAGTTATAAGAGACACACTATAAATAAAAAGAATTATTACAATTTTTTATGAAAAAATTTTATGCCAATAATTTGGACAGTATAGAAGTAATTTAAAACACTACTTTCCATGACTGACCTGGGAAGAAGCATAAAAGTTGTGAACAGACAAACTACTAGCAATGATACTGAATTGGTAATCAATCAAAAAAATACCAAAAACAGTAGTCCAGATCCAGATGGCTTCACAGCTGAGTTCTACCAAACATTTAAAGAAGAGCTAATACCCTTCCTTCTTTACGTATTCAAAAAGTAGAAGAGGAGGGAATACTTCTAAACTCATTCTATGAAGCCATTATCACTCTAATAACAAAATCAGACCAGGACACTACAGAAAGAAAATTATAGACCAAATCCCTCATGAATGTAGATACAGAAACCCTCAACAAAATATGAGCAAACTGGAGGAGGCGGAGCCAGGATGGTGGCATAAGTAAAGCAGTGGAAATCTCTTCCCAAAACCACATATATCTATGAAAATATAACAAAGACAATTCATTCCAAAATAGAGACCAGAGGACACAGGACAACATCCAGACCACAACCACACCTGCGGGAACCCAGCACCTCGCAAAGGGGGAGAGGAAAGCCACAAACCAACAAGAAGGAAAGCTCTCCCAGCTGTCACTCATACCAGCTCTGCAAACTATCTCTATCACCATGAAAAGGCAAAACTACAGGCAGACAAAGATCACAGAGACAACACCTGAGGAGACAGACCTAACTAGTCCTCCTGAAAAAGAATTCAAAATAAAAATCATGAACATGCTGACAGAGATGCAGAAAAAAATGCAAGAGCAATGGGATGAGATGCAGAGAAAAATGCAAGAGCAGTGGGATGAGATGCAGAGAAAAATGCAAGAGCAGTGGGATGAAGTCCGGAAGGAGATCACAGATGTCAGGAAAGAGATCACAGAAGTGAAACAATCCCTGGAAGGATTTATAAGCAGAATGGATAAGATGCAAGAGGCCATTGAAGGAATAGAAGCCAGAGAACAGGAACGTATAGAAGCTGACATAGAGAGAGATAAAAGGATCTCCAGGAATGAAACAACACTAAGAGAAATATGTGACCAATACAAAAGGAAAAACATTCGTATTATAGGGATACCAGAAGAGGAAGAAAGAGGAAAAGGGATAGAAAGTGTCTTTGAAGAAATAATTGCTGAAAACTTCCCCAAACTGGGGGAGGAAATAATCGAACAGACCATGGAATTATACAGAACCCCCAACAGAAAGGATCCAAGGAGGACAACACCAAGACACATAATAATTAAAATGGCAAGGATCAAGGACAAGGAAAGAGTTTTAAAGGC